CTCTCTTGCCTTACTTTTAGTAAAGAAAATCATCTTCCCAATTCATTTTTCTTCTTTTAATGTTGAGGTGCTCGTACTTTTAGTAAAGAAAATCATCTTCCCAATTCATTTTTCTTCTTTTAATGTTGAAGTGCTCGTACTTTTAGTAAAGAAAATCATCTTCCCAACTCATTTTTCTTCTTTAATGTTGAGGTGCTCGTACTTTTAGTAAAGAAAATCATCTTCCCAACTCATTTTCTTCTTTTAATGTTGAGCTGCTCGTACCTTTAGTAATGAAAATCATCTTCCCAACTCATTTTTCGTCTTTTAATGTTGAGGCGCTCCTACCCCCCTCTCGCCTTGTCTTGTCTTGTCGCCTTGTCTCGTCTCTTGTCTTCGCTTCTCTTCTCTTTTCGTTCTCGTTCTCCTTCTCTTCTCTTCCCCCTCTTCGTCTTTTTCAATCAGGCCATGCATTGGCGCACAGTCGCGCGTGTGTAGAAAAACGTATAACAGCCTTGGTTTTTCCACGCGTTTTGCGGGAACTCGCTGCCAATTGGGTTCTATATCGCTTACACTGTCACGGCGTTATTCTAGGCAATGGCTCTTACACGACTTCGTTCTGACACCGCAACCTGTGCACCTTCCAAGTCATGTCGCGCACAAGCCCCTTGCAACCATTTCCTCGCTACTTTTTTTCGCTTACATGTCGCTTTTGCAGAAGCTCTGTGTTACACACGCGCTCTCTGCAAGTACTGTTCGCTGCCCACTCGCTTTTACACCAGCGCAGCTTTTGTTTTTGGCCAGTTGCTCTCCACTTACATGGCTCTTACACTACTTCGTTTTGACGCCGCACCTCATTGACACAAACATCTCCAGCCAGCGTGCATGTTCCAAGTCATGTCGCGCACAAACCCCTTGTTTTCACGCACTTTGATATTACACTCTGTTAGCTAACCTTTGCATAACCTGCACACAAAAAACACAATAGCTACACACAGCTACACACGCCCGGGCCATGGCGACCAGCCGTGCGGGCTCGAGCTGATGGCCGGCGGCATGCCGAAGGCTGTAAATAAATCATCCTTGGAGTGATCTTACCCTTTTATGTTGATGGCATATCTTGTGTGTGGTCCTTGCGTGGTTCGAGCATGATCCTAAATGATCCTACGGTGTCCAAACCTGGCACCATTTATGGAGAGGCTCCATCGTCAGTATGTTCCTTTCCTTTACTAAAATGTGTTGCGTTTGTGTGCGTGAGTGCTTCGGTTTGTGACATAAACTGGCCAAAAAAAATCATGTTGATGATCTAAAGTTGAGCACCACCTCCCAAAAGCATGCACTTTAGCTACGCTTGGAGAACAACAAATGAGATTTGCTGCAATGCTTCAGGTGCTGGCGTGGTTCACCCGTGGTGGCCTGTGGTCGGTGCTACATCTTGGTACCCCGTCCGCGCATGCATCTTGGATACCCTTGGGGCTTCCAGGGTTCTTGCATGTATTGTGCTTACGTTTAGTGTTGCCATTAATGTGGTCCTCTGATTTATAAACGCCCCTAGAATAATGTTATTTTTTCCTGCGCAGATTTATAAAGGCCCCCAGAATAATGTCCTTTTTTTGGAGGGTAGTTTATTTTTTCCCCTTTTGAGTTTGCTGGGATTTGCTTATCTTACAGGCTTTTGGATGGAGATTTCAATTAAACATTTGAAAATGTCCCTTTCTTTTCTTTTGGTTTGCTTTACTTACCTAAGCTCTTTAGTCTTTAAGCTTTCCAACAGTTTCCAAAAGTCAGTGCACACTTTCTTTACAAAATCCCTTATTCAAAAGTATTGAAAAAAAACAAAAAATCATTCAAACAAAGAGGGTAGTCCAGCAAGCAGCTTTCTGACATTATTTAGGGGGGGCCCTAGAATAATGTCTATCCTGTATTCAAACGTATTGAAAAAACAACAAACTCATTCAAACAAAGGGGGTAGTCCAGCAAGCAGCTTTCTGACATTATTTAGGGGGGGGGCCCTAGAATAATGTCTAGAGATTTCAGGCGTTAAAAACATGTTGCTTTAAGTAAACTTGTAAACATTCCCTTTCATTTCCTTTTGGTTTGCTTTACTTACCTAAGCTCTTTAGTGTTTAAGCTTTCCAAAAGTTTCCAAAAGTCAGTGCACACTTTCTTTACAAAATCCCTTATTAAAAAGTATTGAAAAAACAAAACCATCATTCAAACAAAGGGGGTAGTCCAACAAGCAGCTTTTCTGACATTACTTAGGGGGCCCTAGAATAATGTCTAGAGATTTCAGGCTTTAAAAACATTTTGCTTTAAGTAAAAGTGTATTCATTCCCTTGCTTTTCCTTTTGGTTTGCTTTACTTACCTTGCTTTCCAAAAGATCCAAAAGTCAGTGCACACTTTCTTTACAAAATCCTTTATTCAAAAGTAT